AATGAGAAAAATTGCTAATCGTTGCACTTGAGTCAAAATCATACAGAACCGAGCGAATAGCAGCCATATTTGTTTTTTAATTTAACCAATTAATTTCAATTGTCGAGCGTTGAATGACATCAGCAAAAGCGTTCCCATTCTTTCCAGTAAATTTGACGAAGAAAATATTTGACGATCAATTCTGAGCTGAAAAATCTGCATTTTATGAGAGCACACCGCTAAAGGTAATAAACCATCGAAGCCAAAGATCATTCGAATAAAAATCTGTCCATTGCAAAACTTTTCACAACTATCGGCCGTTATTTTAGCGCTGAGCGCGTAAATCAGACTTCACACGTACGTATTCTATATTATCAGCAAATCTGGAAAAGTCTGGTGGTCACGCTTATTTTTTAGTCTGCGCCTTTTAGCCACCGCAAGAATCGGACATATTTATGGCCTCGAAGTAGGATTTATGCTGTTTTTGTCCCGTTTCGGAACCAACTTCGAAATGTCCAAGAACGTTTTTACTTATTTTTACCATGTAATGAGGACACGTTTCGCTACAGTGATTTACTGGCCAATCGGGGACATAAAACGCCCAGATAAGGGGGGTAGTTTGTACCTGGTACAGATTTCGTATTGAATCTTCAATTATTCAAATCACTGCAACTGACAATGTTGTTAAGTGCACGGAAATAACCATTCGCTTAGTAGCTTGCTGATTTTATCAGCTGGAAATAGTTGGACAATAGTCGAGGACTCACTTTCTTTCTATAGACACTCCAAAACTAACATATTTCATATGTTCGAAAACCATGGGGAAAAACTCAGCTTCTCGAAGAAGTGATTTGCATATAAAGTAAATTCTCTTCAAGTTTCGGACAAGTTTTATCTCAACCCGCGTATTTCATTGACATGCAATATATTGGAACTGTAGAGGAATCTGCAAACAGTTCGAAGGAAGAGAAAAACATTTCGAGAATATTTAAATATATCTATTGACATACGTGCATGAATAACTGTAGATAGTGAGGCGTCGTGGTTGTGAAACATTGCCTTTAAATTCGAAATGTCTTCGGAGGGCATTCGAATGATGCAACTGGAAAGTTGCCTATAAATTTTTCTATCGACTTAATAATCCATTCATGTTCCACCGCTTTGCAGAGTTTTACACATGTATGCTAAGACACAGAAAAAATTAAACAAAACTGGGAAAAATCCAATTATGTAAATTCAACAATCATCAATGATACGGTAGTCCGAACGACTGGCGTTTGTATAACGACTCATTGAGATGCGAGTTATGTCTCCCATTTACATGTCGCTGAAGATGTGCACCAAACTGAACATAATTGACGGCCGTGTCCGCTTCTTAAATCGAATCCTTAACGTGAATGATTTTTCGTCGATAATGCGTCTTTGATTTCCAGTTTCGGCCTGACGTTTTCCGAGATCATCCAGTTGGGAAATGGACAGGAATCGCATCGGACGGCACACTTAAAGTGCACATTAAAAATTCAATAAAAACGTCTCACTGATCAATGAAAATTTCTGCTGAATAGATTAGCCATGGTTTAATAAAAATATTATTACATATTGGATTCATATTTGCTAGAAAACTCTGCAGTCAATCGGGTATTATAAATTTGTCTTAATAAAAACTGCAGCTTCCGAAAATTCAGTTTTCTAATTAGTGGATCTTCATCTTTCAGATCGTTTATTGTTTGTCCTATTTTTTCTATCATGAGTTTGGTTAGATTATCGTGCTTTGCTTAGACTCATTAAATTTTAACTAATCGGGTTATTTTATTTTAGACAATATTCAATTGCCTTTAAAATTGTTTATTTGGCGAATGTTTTCTGTGCGTCGCAGTGCTGTAATTTTCGTCTTCTTTCGGCGTCGTTTTTTATTATCTGTTTAAGTCTTAATGCTTGAGAAGTGTATGATTTCATTTTTTGTTTTAAAACATAGAAACGAACCCAAATAAGTGAGCAAATCTTTAGCTTCGTTGTTGATGGGCGGAATTTTGATATTTCAACGTATTTTTCTCGTCGAACGAAAGATGCATTTTGCAGCAAATTAATATCAGTCGGAGTAGTTTCTGACTTTTCAAAAACTAATAGGCTCTTGAAAAAACTATTTTTTCAAATTTCTAAATATCGCAGAAATCATAGCAATTATGGTGCAAAGTGGCTGCTTCAACTTGCTTGAACACTAAGTAAAAAACAGTTAAATATTGAAAAAGGTTTAAAAATGAAATTATGCGCCATGAACAACGGAAAAATATTCCAGAAACATTGGGTGTATGTAAAGCTTTGTGACTAATGAGACAAATCTATCGCCGTCAATGCCCGCTTAATCAGAATACTATCGAAAAAATTAAAAATATAAAAGAAAATAATGGCTTTCGAACTCATTCCCATTTCTATGTGGAACTCATTAACATTTTCGGTAAGGTGATTAGTACTCGATCTCCCATGGACACAGTTAATTCCTTTAGCGAAAATGTGCATTTTTTGCCGTTTCAATAATTCCCTTGAAACAAAATGGAATATGAATTTTTCAGCAAAAGGTTTGTCGGCTTTCCAATTGCAAAATATGAGAACACTTTTAGAGATAATGGCGAAAAGGGCAAAGAGAAACTTAACAAGGATTGAGCAAATGAAAAATAGAATAGAACAAACAATTTCCGCCAAATTGCAGATTTGAATCATAATTCAGTTCTATCAAGTCCAGTCAATGTACAAATGATTGTTTAATAATTAATTGTTTGATGAATAACCAACATTCTGATAACGTTTGTTTGTCCTAATTCGATATTAATTGAAAACAACACCTGCAAATATTTTCTTGTTCTGTAGTGTCCACTTTAAAGCTCAAAACCCGCTTGAAACCGTCTGATTAAATGAAGCAACTGTTATTTAGCTCTACTAAAGTACAGTAGTAGAGTAATAAAAACTAAAATGATAAAATTTGAAGCACAAACCCTGAAAAATAATAATCAAAAAGAGAACAAACTGGCAAAAGCTTCAAGAAGTCTGAAGTCACACGCGACCAATACGCCCATACCGTAATGTCCAATATTCAGCTTCAATTGAAGAATGAGTTCTTCAATTGAGGATTAAACACAAAAAGTGGAGTCATAATTCATTGTGGAAATCGGACAGTGATGACGACTAGAAGGTACTTGCATGTAAAGCGCTTAAGCTCGATAAAAAACCAAATTTATTGCAGTCTTTTTAAATAGTCTCCAGGTAACATTCGTGTTAAATTGTGGAAATTAGAAGCTAATTTGAGGCAATGACCAATGCGATAACGACACAAATTAAACAAAACCAATTTTACTTTACATCGCAGATAATTTAACGTGTATTTATTTTGCGATCGTACCCATCCGGTTGTCTATACTGTTTGTCGATGGAAGATAAGACCAAAAGCGCCATTCACATCAATCCATCCAAGAGTTGAAATACGTTGCAGGTAACTGGTTGTTGTTTTATGGGAGCTTTTTCAGAAAACTGATTGACAATCCGTAGATAAATGTGCCCAAAGAGTGATGTTCCTTTTCGAGACACGTTTTTAAATGGATACATTTGTAGGTCAATATAGAGCTTTAAATTCGTAGCAGTCAACTTTGCTGTGAGGAAATTACTCCTGTAAGAGCAATATTATTGTTTATTTATTGCATAAATTGCTAGAAAGCTTAAATGAATTGGAACGTAATAAATAATAATGGAATGAACAGAAGCCGAACTAGCAGCAGAAGTTACGTTAAACCTTAAAACAAAGCGAATCGTCTCAAAAGCAGTTTCTGTGATTGTATAAGTCCCCGTAGGCGAAGCGTAAAAGAAAACTAATATCCGACACGAGGCACCGGAAGATTTCTTCAAAAACTTTCGTATATTTGTAGCTTATAAGTGAAGGAATGCCGTATTCCTCGATAATGTTCAATGACGTATCGTTTCAACGTGATGCCATTCCGGAGGAGACAAAGACGAACATGGCCCATATTTTTGGGCATATTCAACAATCTTTCTTTTTATGGAGACGAATCGGAGATGCGCCAGTTCCAATGGAAACTTTCCAGGATTGGAGAAGACGGTGGAATAAATTTGACTTGGCTGGAATTAGTTCGTCGAATGGAAATCGTTCCATGACACATCATCTAAATCGTTCCTTTTGGAAAGATTTATATTTTTTTGTGTGAAAGCTTCGATTTACTTTATTGCATCACTAGAAATTATCATTACTTAATCAATGTTGGTCTTCCAAAGAAACAACGAAAGTTCTGAAAAGAATGCGGAGCATTTTTAAGCTGAAATTTCTTCCTCCAATTGTCACAATGTTTTCAAAATGTGACACAAAGAGCTAAAGTTCACTCAACACCACTGGAAATGAAAGCATGAATGCTTCATTGAACAACAATTGCGTTTTGCAAATGGCACTGACACACGATTTGATGTTTCCCTTATTAATACGAATTTCCCAAACTCGACGACATTTAATTTAAATCGACGAACGGTCGGCAGTTAACATGCAAGACATAAAGCCGGGAAAATAAAATATTTCATATCACGAAATTCACCGAAGGATATTGCGAGCGAATATAGAAAAGAGCAAAAAAGTTGCCACTTCAGAAAATGTAGCAGATGGGTTGACAATGAGTTATTACAAGCCTTTTCATGGAAGTCTCGTGTATGCTTAAAGCTATAATTCATAAGTTCTTACTTGTATTTATAGTGGCTCGGACAGGCCCGCTCTTAACGAGCCTAAGTGCTCTTAATTATTTTTTGAGAGGTTTTTGATTCGCGTTTTTCCAGGATCTTCAAATGAGATATTGCAGCCGAATCTTTATTGAAAACATACATTCAGCACAAACTCTCAACGTGATTAATTGGACTAAAAAGTATTCATCCACGTAGCAGGTACTTGATTTTTGAAAACAACAAGATAAAGGCGCAAGTGTACGGAAATTCCCACTGTGTACAAGTGCACAGATAACTCGCCTTTTTAATTAAATAGTTAAAATAATAAATTAGTTTCAATTCGACAATGGCTCTATCGGCAGGTTTTACGGCTTCTTTGCCCACCAATTACGAGTATTACACTTCTACAGGAATAAACTCGGGACTCAATGCCAACCAGAGCTTTTTCACCCTCAATGATAAGCTGATTAAGATTTACAGTGGTGCAATGCACTACTTTCGAGTACCCCGACCATACTGGAGGGACCGCTTGAGGAAGATTAGGGCTGCCGGTTTGAATACTGTAGAAACGTACGTTCCATGGAACCTGCATGAACCGGAAAATGGTAAGCGGCGTTTGCAGGAATTTCTGAAGAAACCCACTGCATTCTTCTTCCCAGCGACTATATAGCAAGCTGAAGAGTTAATTTTTACTGTTGCAAAGGTAAATTCGATTTCGGCGAAGGAGGCTCGGAGTTTGAAGACTTCCTGCATCTGGAGGAATTTTTGAACGCAGCCAAAGAAGAGGATTTGTTTGTTATATTAAGAACAGGCCCCTATATTTGCTCCGAGTACAACTCGGGAGGATTCCCCAGCTGGCTGTTGCGGGAAAAACCCATGGGATTTCGGACATCAGAGGAAAATTATATGAAGTTTGTCACAAGGTTGGATAACCCTCAAAACTCTGTTTCTCTCATACGATTAACAACTTCTTGCAGATTCTTCAATCTTGTTTTGACTCTTCTAGCAGCCTTTCAGTTTCAACTAGGAGGCCCAGTGATCGCTTTCCAAGTGGAGAATGAATACGGCAATTTGGAAAATGGAGCGGCTTTTCAGCCAGACAAGGTTTACATGGAGGAATTGCGCCAGCTGTTCCTAAAAAATGGCATAGTGGAACTTTTGACTAGTGCGGATAGTCCACTGTGGAAAGGAACTTCGGGTAGGACCAATAATGAAACCAATACTCAAATCGATTTTCAGTTTTTCAACAATCAATCAGGTACATTGCCGGGGGAGCTGTTTCAAACAGCGAATTTCGGAGATAATGCGGTAAATCAGCTGAATAAACTGGAGGAGTTTCAACCAGGCAGGCCGTTAATGGTAATGGAGTATTGGATAGGTTGGTTTGACAATGTGGGGGGCGAGCACTCCGTTAAGTCCGATGAAGACTCCCGAAGGGTTCTGGAGGACATTTTCAGCAAAAATGCCTCCTTCAACGCATACATGTTCCATGGAGGGACGAACTTCTGGTTCAATAATGGAGCAAATCTAGGTAGAATTTTTCTCCTGAGTTCACTGAGCTTTGAGTGGTAATAGTCAAATTCCAGACAATGACTTAATGGATAATTCTGGATACACTGCAATAACAACCAGCTACGACTACGACGCCCCCATTAGCGAAAGCGGAGGATATCGCAACAAATACTTCATAGTCAAGGAGCTGGTGGCCGCAGACAATCCAGTTCAGACTTTCACACCAGAAGCTCCCGAATATATCGAGCCTCTGGCCTACGAAAGCTCGCGAATTGAGCAGTTTCTCCCATTAAGAACTCTGCTGGAAGAAAATTCTCCTATATCCATTCGAAGCGAGCAACTGCTCCCCATGGAGATGCTAGACATCAACGATGGATCAGGGCAGAACAATGGATACATCGTCTACCAGAAGGACAACGTGGATTTGGAGGAAAATTCAGTGTTGACTATTGAAGGTGGGAAGATCTTTGGCTGAATCCAAGAGCCTGTAAATGATTAGTTGGCAGGTAATGTTTGCGACACTGTCCTGGTTCTGGTTGATGGAGATCTAGTGGCGCCGACAAAATTAAGCTCCTTGGCCGATTTGGATGGCTTCGGCTACTGGAGGCTCAAAGACTCTTCAGTGCAAATCAACGAAGAACCGAAATTTCAATCAACAATCACCCTATTGGTGGAGAATATGGGACGAGTGCATGGAGCTGGGATTTATCAATATAATCACACTTTCAAAGGGTTATGGCAAGGTATTTGCTTCTTTTTACCGCTTGCAAGGGCAAGAGTCGCACTTATGGAAAACAATTTAAGGAAACGTAACTATCAATCAAAGAAACATCTACGATTGGGAAGTTGTGCCTCTGGAACTGAAGAAGCAATGGATAAATGAACTGAAAGGATGGTCTGAGTTCAGTACTGAATCTTCAGGTCCAGGAATGTACAAGGCAACTTTGTCAATTCTTGAAGAGCCCAGAGATACTTATATTGATACAAGAGGCTGGGGCAAAGGTTGGAGCAACGCCAAAAAGTAATCGTTTGCCCATGGCTCATTTTGTTTTGTTTCAGGAATGGTATTCGTCAACGGATTTGCTTTGGGCCGATATGCAGCCATCGGGCCACAATTTGCTCTGTATCTTCCAGCACCATTTCTAGTCAACGGCGACAACAGCATAATTTTCTTCGAACATTTCAGTGCGCCAGCTGATGGCCTGATTGCGTATACGGACGAGCAAATTTTCATCAATCCGACTTGAGCACATTTTAATTAATTAACCCTATCATAAAGTGTTTGGTTTGGAGTTTGCTGGTTATTATTTAAGCGATACCCATCAAGATTGCGAAAAAAGCAAACAAATTAGTCGACGCCGTCAACGAAAGTTTGCTCGGAAAATTTTCCTTCCAAGATTCGAAAGGACGGCACTTGTTAAAAAGGACGCTAATTGAATTTAAACTTTAAGAAGTAGCCAACTAAATGAATATAGCCGGAAAGTTTACCTGCTCTCATTAAACTAACCGGGAAAATATTTGGATTGACTACGGAAAAAGACGTGGGATTTAAATAGATTAAGCTTTTTAAAATTCCGCTGGGTTCTCCGAAAATATCTCTTTTATATTAATATTAAATTTTAGCAATCGCATTGGGGCAGGTACATCCATTTCAGATTAGAGATCTGAATCTGAGAACACTGTTGAGGTTTAGAGGCGAAGATTGGTAAGTGTCGAGCTGGCCAAAAAAAATGTTCCGCTAATACCATTGGCTAAGACCAAGTCAAAATACCGACGTCATTTCCTCAAAAGCCCATTAAACATTTACAACACTGTTGCTTTGACGGTGAAAAACAACACCGCGAGACGTAACGCAATAATAATAATTAAAAAAAGCCTCCAAAAGAGACGGAGCAAAAAAATACAATTCTCGCATTTCTATGCAAAATAAAGGACTTTATGGTGCGTTCTATATTATAAAATATGCAAATTGGTTTTTAAGGTAAATATAGCTTGCGAGCAGCTGAATGTTAATCTTCGCAGTTTATTTCACTTCGTTTGGAGCGGTTAATAAATCAGCTGCGCGGCTATTTTGTGCCGTGCTGTTTATATAATAAAACTGTTTTAAGAGAAAATGGAGCAAGAAACCGTCGTGATTGATTAGAGACGATTAATTGATTCATTGTGAATAATATATACAGGGTGAAATTTGAAAAACTGTGTTGCAAGAATAATAACGAAGTATAATTAAAATTTAAACTGAGAAGTTTTCAGGCATACAATTTTGCTTCGAAAAGCTTCGGCAAAAATAAACACCAATTTTAGTTGCTAATAAATTTCTTGTAACTGTCGGGCGGTGAAATTTTACCAAACCAATTTATTTCCCATGGCAAAATCTGATTTTCCATGAAGTCTGTAAATGCATTTAATATTTTTATAATTTTTTTTCTGTGCAAAGTTTTTTGTATCGCGTTTTTATGTGACTCGATACTCGAGTGCCGCATTGAAACAGAATCGTGAAACCAATCGACACCTTGAAAAGAACTGCAAATTTTGTATCTGTCCAAAGAACCATTTTGAAAAAACATTGTTTAAGCTTGATTTTGGTATGAAGCTATTGAAGTTTCAATTTGAACTTTCCCTTCTTTGAGGTACCTGAAATTTCTTTTTGGACAAACTTTTAACTGTTTGGCGTTTCACAGAAATGCCTAACATCTAAAGAAATGGAAGCAAATTTTGCCAGTTTAGACCCTTTTAGATCTCACAAAGGGTTCATAATGTGCAGTCAAGTTAGTCGGTTCGATTTTTTAAAGATAACACCTGAAGATCCTTTAGCGTCCGAAAATATTCAATTAAAGGGATAATTTTTCGTGGCCTAAACGGACCACTAATTTTTTAAATCAGGAAAAATTACCCCTTTAACCTGTTAATCACTATTATTTTGAAATGGCCCCATGTGTGTTTGCAACCTATTTCATTGCATTTCAACCTCACTTTCTGTATAAAACATATTTTAGGTGGCATAATATTGCCAAGTTTTCCAAATAATCCCTGAACTTGAAACCATTTTGAAACATGATTAATGTTGATTTAGAAGTAAAATTATAATTAAAATTTGGCAAGTTCAAAGCCTCAAAACAAATTCATGCTCTCAGCATAGTTAACAGACCTTCAAAACGTGCACGCTGACCTCCGAAAATCTCGCATTTTGAGGACCTTATTTAGGATCATTGAACGCCTGGATCAGATCAGAACACAAGCGATCAAACCAAAAAAAATTCCTGCTGAAACCGATTTTGTTCCGTCCAATAATGAAATTGCAAGTTATGAACAATTCTAGGTAATTTGCGGCAAAATGTAAATATGTTTGCAAAAATTGATGCTTGTTCTACCAGGCAAAAATGTTTTCTGACCCCGACGTGATTTGAACACGCAACCTTCTGATCTGGAGTCAGACGCGCTACCGTTGCGCCACGGAGTCATACTGTGTTTATAATTATACCAGACTTATCAATAATTTTATATTTTATAAAAGTCTGTATAATTACTTTATCAATTTACCGTTATCTTAACTGATAGCCCTCGAGTGATAGTAAACTGCACATTTCATACAAGTTTTCTGCTCATTTGCGACCTTGCAACGGTTTCCTGCATTCACAAAGCAGGTAGGTACTTTTACCTGTACTTAACTGGTTATTACCGCAATAAATATGCAGGTTAGTACGCAAAACTTGCACGCAAAATAAGCACAGTTTCATGGGTAAGTGACGTTTCAAAACATTTATGAAGCTTCCGTAAAACCTGAGCACTTTGTCCACTCGAAATTTCCATGGGCAAAACATCGAAAAGCTTTCCACTCTAAATCGCGAAAATCCATGGTAGTCGATCAATTTTAAAGCGGTTTTTATGGCATGTTTACTGCTGTTTATGTGGAAGTCCGCAGTGCAAAAATTTCAAATATAAATGACCACTTGAAGTTGGCCAACGCTTGAGAGTTTTTAAAATTGATACGATGCATTTATCAATATTTTGTGTTTTTGTCAGGTTCCATTAGTTTGAGAGAGAGTTGCAAATGGGTTCGTTCAAGTCGTCCAGCCGGACCACCAATGTTTGTGCACGAAATCTTATTTATTATACCTTTGCGACCGTTTTTATTCGCAACGTTGATGGGGCAAAATGTAATCGTCAATTTTCCCTCAAACTTTAATTAAACAGTATTAGATTCACTGACATAAAATAGAAAACGTTCCTGTCACCCTCTCTGGTTAATATTAGTTCTCGACAGAAAACAGATTACTAATTATGGTAATCCAGCGGGGGGTTTGTGTTTCCATTTACGCGACATAAGAGCACTTGTAATTGGAAACTTGGGGATGGTTTGAAGAATAAACGGAGGATAATAGATTACAGTTTCAATACTCGTATATTATTGACGTCTTGTCTTTGCTTCCGACTTTCTATCAAACATTTGCAAAAGCTGACACAAAATCGACTCTTTTCAGTGTGGAATGCAAACAACAATTTATGGTGCAGATGGATAAGCTTTGATAGAAAAAATCATAGAAAACGAATATAGTAACGGTTCATTGATAGTTTCTACCTCACGTCCTTTTAAAAAAAATGTTGAAGTTCAGGAGAAAAAATCCAAAACCAATTTTTGGCAAAGTATTAACATAACAGAAATTAAGTAAAAATTGTGCTGTTGAAGATGCGTTTGAAATTTGAAAATTTACCTTCTTCCAGGTTACTCAGATTGAAAATCTGCTAAAAAATGTTGAGCTAAAGAGTGTTGGACGTTCGACGAGAATATAAAAACAATTCTGGAAAATCATTGTGTAGCTGTAAAATTTCACTAGATATGGAAAGTTTTCAGGCAACAGCCAAAACAACCTTTTATCCCTAAGTACTAGATTTTTTTCTATTGGGTTTCTTTGTCAAAGTATCCCAAAATTATTTGCTAAACATAATTTCAGGTAGGAGGAGCATTGTAAGAATACAAAAAATCCCATTGGCCAGCAGGTAGTCCCGATTTATTTCACATTGACAATTCGGACCGCGTTTAAAAATCCTGAAAATTCGCAGTTTACCTAGTTATGTAACTGTATCAAAGGCGTTTTAAATTTAATTATGCTAAACATTGTCATTGGCTGTAAATTAATGCAAGAATCCAGTTAATATTTTTAATAAATTCTTCTGGAAAATGTTTACATAGCCATAAAATACGTAAAACAACAATACAAGTTCCTCAAATATACTTTAACGCTTTGAAAATATAATTTTAAATTCTGTTAACATTTGACAGCAAATAAACTGCTAAGACGCATTTATCAAACCGAAACAAAAAACCCTCGCATATCCGAATAAAAACCGGCAACTGTTTTTCTGTCCATTTATGATGTCTCTAAACTATATTTCTCTTTACAAATTTAGTCGACATATAAATTATTGCCTGTCATGAAAAGAAATAAATTATTTCGTGTCCGAGGGAGCATTTCGTGAAAAGCCAGTGAAAGCTAGACGAAAGCGAACTTGTCTGCACTTAATTTGTATTGCAAACGTCCTGGATAATTGATGCCACATTTTATACATTGTTTGATTGTTAATTAATGACACATTCTTTCCTTCGTTTAAATTCAGCTGTGAAAAAAGCCCATTTGCGATGGTCGGCGTATTAAAATTGGGGTGCAAAGTGTCAAGCGGTCCCTTTTCTCAGTTAATTATGTGAAAGTAATTTAAGCTTCTTATTTTCCACCTGACAGAAAAGTCTCTGGAAAAGGGGTGTTTCGAGCTTTATCCAGGTTTTATATTTGGTGCGTGAGGTGTAATTCGGAAAATGTTGACAAAACAAAGCGGCGGCCCTTTTGTTGGAATGTTTACTTAATTAAGCAACACGGTGGCTGGCTATATTTCTTCAACCCCTAGGGGATTATTAATAAAGAAAATCGACTTACCATGTTCAGTTAATCTGTTTTCATGCCTCTATTGTTCCGACCATGATAAACACATTGGCTGAAAGAAAAAAGTCGAATTAATTTGCATAAAATGAAAAGTGACACAGGACGACAAATGGAACAAATTATTGAACCAGACATGCAGAAAAAGGTCCATAAATACACATAAAGTGGAACTATGAAATTCAAAGTTTTTTTTAATCAACTATCTGTATTCTATGTTCTGTAACTTAAGACTGAGGAGCTGATTCAAAAGAAATCTGAAAGCATTTAAAATGCAGATTGGGTCAGAACTTAATAACTTAATTAATTAAATAAACAAACTAACTTTAGCTATTTGAAAAAAGGTTGTATTAACATAA